TCATACATTACCTATCAATCTAGAATAATTAGCCAAAACCTGCAAGGATCTCAAAAGCTCCATGTTTTCCATGATGCTGAAAATAATTGCAGTCCTGAATCAAAACATTTACCCAAAGCAATGTTGTCCTCTATAAGTTTCCTGAGACATTTTTTGTTCACTTAACAAATATTTTAACCAATTATCTTGTGACAAGCATTGTTGAAAGCATTGTAAATTAGTGATGTGTGTTTGACCTTAACAAGATTGTATCTAAGATATGTGTGTGCCAGAGGGAGCAATAAAATATTGACAAATGAGCAAATGATGTTTCAAGTGGTGGTTATCACTACTAAGTAAAATAATGCAAGACAAGGTAGTCCTAAAGTGAAGAGAAAATTTTCCATTGTATCTTCTCTGATAAGGGGATTTTGAGCAGGAAAGCTGAGGGCCGTGGATTCATGAACCATGCAGATAATTTTGAGAAAAACAACTAAGGCAGAGAAATAGCCTGTGCAAACAGCCTTATACAAGAGCTTACCCGAAACCATAGGGCAACATCAAAGAGAAAGCTGTGAGCAGAGTGGGTAACACAACAGGAACAGGTGTTGGATGTAGGAGAAGAGAGAGAGGAGGTCAAAGCCTCCTGCTTCTTTGGAAACATTCTACGGCAATGGAAACTGTCATTCATTGTCATTTTTATATGTATATATTATATATGATGCCTACAATAGCACAAATTTTATGTAATATATACAAATGGGACAAAATTCATTCCTCTATAACTCTTTCTTTACTCTCAGTCTATATTTGGTCTACATTCTGCATTTTTTATTGCTTAAAACAGCTTCAGCTTGACCTGTGTGTACTGTAATGATAAATTATTCCCTACACACACACACACACACACACACACACACTGAGTGCAGAGAGGGAGAAAGACAGAGAGAGTTGTCCATTATCGTAGTACTGTGAACGCTTGTAGCTGAAGCACAACTGTATTAGAAAGCAGAGGACAAGCTATACTGTGAGTCACAGAGCTTCTTTCTCCTAGGAGAATTGCATTTTGTAATGTAGGGATTCCAATGGAGTAGTCATGACTGAAGATCACAAGATCCATACAGAATTAGGATGAACACCAATCTTTTTCAAACTCTTCCAAAAAATATCAAAGGGCAAACACTTCCTACTTTATTCCAAGAGGGCAGCATTGCAGTTACAATGAAGCCAAATAAAGACATTACAAGAAAAAAAGGTACAGATCAACATTCCATGGGAATCTTTGACTAAATATTACAACTGAATATAGCAGCCTTTTTTTTAATGCTGTATAAGAGGATTATGCATCATGACTAAGTGGGGTTCATTCCTGGAAGGCAAGGATGGTTTAACTTATGAAAACCCATCCCTGTAATACACCACATTAACAGAATCAAGGATAAAAGGCAGAATTATCTCAACTGATGCAGAAAAAAATTTGACAAAATTCTGCATTCTTTCATAATAGCAACATTGAAAAAGCTAAGAACAGAAGGAAACTTCCTTAACATGATATAGGTCATATATGAAAACCCACCTCTAATGTTATTCTCAATAGGGAAAGTCTGAAAACAATCCTAAGATAAGAACAAGACAAGAATGCCTGCTTTTCTAACTTCCTTACACACAGCATTCCAAGCTCCAGACAGAGCAATTAACCAGTGAAGAAGAAGCAGCAGAAGCAGAAGCAGAAAGAAGAAGAAGAAGAAGAAGAAGAAGAAGAAGAAGAAGAAGAAGAAGAAGAAGAAGAAGAAGAAGAAGAAGAAGAAGAAGAAGAAGAAGAAGAAGAAGAAGAAGAAGAAGAAGAAGAAGAAGAAGAAGAAGAAGAAGAAGAAGAAAAGCAAAGCCATCAAAATTGTACAAAGGAAGAAATAATATGATTTTTGTTCACAAAGAAGGTGATCTTATTTTAAACATGACACACCATTAAAAACAAGAAAAACTATTACACTAATAAACAGATTAAGCAACGTTACAAATACAAATCAACACACACAAAACACAGAGGACTGAGGGAATCCCAGAATGGAATGCCTCCATGTGAAAAAAAACAAAACAAAACCTAGATTACAATCGCATGAAAAAAATCTCAATGAAGCAAGTGGGGGAAAAGACAGAAATATGTGATCTGGGAACTGAGTGGAGTCTGTAAAACTGGAAATGAAAGTGCACAGAAGGACTCTACTGTAGTTAATACAGATGTATCCCAGAGAGTACTATTAACAGTGCTGATACTTGTGCACGTGTGAATGAAACTGAACATTTAAGGAAATGGAGAGTAAGTGGTGAGCCATTTGGTGTGGGAGTTTACAGGTAAGCAAGGTGGAGAGGCTAGAATGATCCATGTGGCAATAAATGAGAGTTGGAGCCATCAGTATGAACTTGCTTTAGCTTCACATAGATACAGAGAGTTACATATAGATATGTGTATAATTGTCTGCATATACAGAGTATACACTCCTGTGTTTCCTTGCCAGGTCAGTTGAGAGGATACAGAGACCCTGGCAGCAGTAAGCACACCTGGCACCCAGATCTTGGTGCTAATCCCATGACCCAATAAAATGAAACAGGGCTCTTTGCAGGAATCACTGATTCTAGGGCTCAGGAGGGAAATACAAGAAGCTGAAGCTGAAGCCTCTTTTACTGTAAGACAGTAATGAAATGCTATCTGAAAAAGCCAAGAATGGAGACATGCCGAAGAGACATATCAGCTGACTGAAGGAGTTCTCTATTGCCAAAGCTGGAACAATTTGAGCAACAAAATGAAGTAGTATTGGGTTATAACACAGACTATATAATCAATATCACAGAGTATACACCTATGTAAATAAGTGAAAAAAAAGAGAAGACACACATTAGAGAGCAGAAGAATACCAACAATGTACATAGATATTCTACTCTCAAGGAGGTGGAGGATAACTCCCACTACTTAAGAATGGGGCTACACTTAGAAAAGTCCCTACAAAAGTACAGTATGGAAATAAGGGGAAAGATTAACCACAGTGGAGAAATCTGAAAAACCCCATGCAGCCAGCACATCAACAAAAACACCAATGAGGGTCAGTCATGTTGACAGTGTGTACCCTTGATGTCATGAGATGAACATGGCAGTTCATCTCTGTGGTCTTCTTGTCCAACACCCATAGTCCTAGTATACTCAGGAAGAAAAGAACAATAAGGTAAGTCCAAAAGAAGATAATTTTACAAAACACCCAACCAGTACTCCTCAAAACTATCAATTACTTTGAGAACAAAGGAAGCCTGAGAAAAGTCACTATGTGTGGAAGCTCAGCAGATATGAGGATTACATGTGACATGTATAACAGATACAATGTAATCATAAGAGCAGAAACTGGGAAGGGAGCTTATGAGAACTCTCTGAACTATCACAGTAATTTTTTCGTGATAAATGTACAACTGTTCAAAAACTAAACTTGATTAAAACTTAAATTAATGAAGTGCAAAATATTTGGAAACGCTGAAATCTGAGCATGTCCGGGGTCCATTATATGCTTTGTGTAAACAGTATCACTGCTGTCAGCAACACTTTCCATCCATAAAATAAAAGAGTGATACCAAATTCATAGTTTTTGAAAGATTTCAATAAAATGATTACTACAATATGTCTGGCATTGTTTGTAGTATTAATTAACTCCTACAAATGATGAAGAGAAGATGTCTGGTAGTTTCTAGGAAAAACGTAATAATGAATGAAAAAAAATCATCTGAATTTTTGTATCCATGATGTCCACCTTCTCAGACACCCATCACTTGCCTCCCATCTCACTCTCATGATGCTATTTCTATCCCTCAATGTCCCTCTCACACCCTGAACACAGCAATGGCTTGTTCCTCACATTAACCTGGGTCACTTTTCCATAGAGCAGACCTGTGCATAGTTATCCTCTGACCTTTAAAACCCGCACTTACTCTTCACTAATTTCAGAATTAAAGTTCAACCCTGTAGCCAAAATGCTTGATTCTTTCTTTTTTTTTTTTTAAAGATTTTATTTATTTATTTATTTGAGAGAGAGAATGAGAGAGAGAGAGCATGAGAGGGGGGAGGGTCAGAGGGAGAAGCAGACTCCCTGCCGAGCAGGAAGCCCGATGCAGGACTCGATCCTGGGACTCCAGGATCATGACCTGAGCCGAAGGCAGTCGCTTAACCAACTGAGCCACCCAGGCGCCCTTGATTCTTTCTTAACATACTATTTCTTACCAGGCCGGTCTCCTATCTGTCCATTTTGCATACCCTGCTATTGATGGTTGGTCAGGTCAGTAAGAAGTGTTTCTAATCTCAGCAGCACAACTTCCAGTTTAATTAATCTCTAAATTTTCTCATTTGCTGTTTCTTCCTGGACTGCTCACACCCATTGCCCCCTGGAAGCACTCCAACACCTCCTTCAAGGCTCAATTCGATTATAAACTTCTCTGTGAAGCCTTCACTAATTCCCATGAAAGAGTTAACTTCTTGAAAAATTTTTTTAAAGAGTCAACTTTTTTGGATACTTCCACAGATTTCAATGCAACCTCGTGTTGCCACATTTATTTTTACATCTCTCACTTCGTTTACACAGTGAGTACCTTGAGAGAAGAAATAATGTCTTATTTATTTATTCCCAGAATAAATGGTAGTATCTACCATATATTAAATATTGAAAAAATGTTTGTTTAATGACTACAATAACAAATGGCTGAATAATGATAAAGTCTCTCTCGAGAATGAAAGAACAAGCAGTGAAACAGAGGAAAGATTATTGAGGAATGATATCCCTGTCATTAAGCACTACTCTGAAGGAGACAGATCAGGGAGAGATGGTTTAATGTATCCAGACTTTCCCTCCAGAATCAGAGCCTTAGTGGGCAGGACTTGGCTTTATTAAACTCTCCTTAACTTACTGTCCCTGTCCCTCACCCAACAATAATCACCAAGAAAAGCATCCCTCCCACCATAACACATGTCCCCAGCACTAGTGACTCACCCAGATGTTATCACACAACAGCATGAGATCACTGACCCATTTTCTCCCATGGATGATTGATGAGGTTGGAAGTTATGCCCCCAGGAAAGGAAGAGACATGGTCCCATTCATGAAGACTCTGGAAGACACAGTTATGTGTTTGTATCACCTGAGATTAGAAGAGATGAAGTCAGTGGGTGCAGCAGAGACATTTTCAATTTCTGTGGCTATAGAGGCTGAATTCCCATGAGTCTCATTAATGAAATATTCTTCTGTCTCACTTCCCCTTGGGAGACTTGGTGCTAGGAAAGAAACATAGAATGCAAACAAGTCCTGGTGTTGGTATTAGGACACAGCCTTGGTATTCCATGATTGTCTCATCCCATTAAACTCTTTGATCCCACGAGGAGGTCCTCTCTCTGTAGAGGGTCTCACTAATAAGCCAGAGAACCCCATAATAAGTATACAATTCTTGATTTGGAAGAGAGATTCTGAGTGCCCTACATCTCTTCTTTCTCGCATCTGGACCCTCTTCTGTTGGCTCATGATCATGGATCCTTCATCCCCCACAGTGCTTCTCCTGTTCTGCACCTCTTTCTCCTTCATTGTACACTGTGTCTGTTTAACATCACTCAATCATTTGCTTCTTTGGGCATCTTGCAAACACTTAAGCAGCAGGGGTGATACAGTAGACACTAAGCTACATCCTGGGGATAAAGAAAAGCATAAGACATGGCTTACAGTTATGAGACAGGGCAAGAGACAGAACAATAAATGAATGCATTAACCTGAAGTGGCACTGACACCTGATGAAGAGAACACCAACGTAATCAAGTCTTCCAGGGGAGATGAGTGAAGGCTTCACAAACAAGCTTATAATTGTCCTGAGTCTTGATGTCAGGGAATGCGGTAAGAGCACTCCAAGAGGGGTATCAGGGCTGTCAATGTGGTGGTTAGACTGTAAGATACAGTCAAGATATTTCCTATGCTTCATACTTGCTGACCAATAATCGGGGGCTAAGTATTACAATTGAAACATGACCCTGAGCAGTAAGACAGCATTCAGATAGCAGAGATGCTTATATTTTGGATACAGGCCGACATGTGTTTATGAAAATTATGGAGTGTCAGTGCAAAGTTCATGATGGGATGTCCAGGATCAAGCTGTCCCTGTGGAAAAGTCATCCTGGGACAATGTTAGACATAGATTCTTGCTACTATAATAGTCAAAGAAAACCGAAAAAGTGTAGATGGAAAAATAGAGAATGAATGGACATCTTTAAAGGGCAAAAATAATAATAATAAAATATTTTAAGTTTGCAATATGGATGGAGCCAGAGGGTGTAGTGCTGAGTGAAATAAGTCAGTCTGAAAAAGGCAAATACCATTTGATTTCAATTATATATGGAATTTAAGAAACAAACAAATGAACAAAGAAAGAAGACCAAAAAAAGACTCAAATACAGAGAACAAATTGGTATTTGCCAAAGGAGAGATGGGTGAGGGGATGGGTAAGATAGATAAAGGGGATTAAGAGTACACTTATCTCCATGAGCCCTGAACAATGTATACAATTGTTGGATCATTACACTGCATGCCTGAAGCTAATATAACAATGTATGTTATTATACTTTCATTAAAAAAAAATCCTGGGGGGGGGGGAATATGATTTTCAGAGTTACCACGTTATAATTTTAAAACAATCCATTATCAACGACACAAACAGAAATATAAATCATTGGAATAGGAGGAAGCCCAGAAATAAACTGTCATATATACGATTGAATGATTTTTGACAAGAGTGCCAGGACAGTTCAACGGTAACTGGATAGTCTTTCCATGAAATAGTGATGGGAAACCAAGATAACCATCTGAAAAAACATGAAGGTGACCTTTCTGTCCACCATCTACAAACATGATTCCAAATGGATCAAAGATCTAACCACAAGAAATAACACTGTAAGCACGTGGAGGAAAACACGGAGGTACATCTTTAGGACACTGGATTTGACCAAGATTTCCTGGATATAATACCAAAGACGCAGGCAACCAGAGAAAAAAATTACTTCAGCAAAATCAAACTATTTGTGCATTGAAGGGCACTATTTCTCAAGTGAAAAAGCAACCCACAAAGAAAAAATTGGCAAACCACATACTTGATAACAGATTAATATCCAAAAGATGTACAAAAATTCAATAGCAAAAAACCCAAACAACTCAATTTCAAAAACACAATGTTTTTGTTTAAATTCCAGTTAGTTAACATACAGGTAATATTAGTTTCAGGTGTACAATAGAGTGATTCAGCACTTCCATAATAAAAAGTTTTTTAAAAAGATATTTTTAAAAAAAGAACAACTGTTGGCAATGATTTGTTGAAAAAGAAACTCTCTTGCACTGTTGGTGGGAATGCAAACTGGTGCAGTCACTGTGGAAAACAGTGTGGAGGTTCCTAAAAGTTAAAAATAGTACTACCCTATGATCCAGTAATCACACTACTGGATAATTACCCCCAAAATACAAAAACACTAATTCAAAGGATTACATGCTCCACCATGTTTATAGCAACATTATTTACAGTAGCTAAACTATAGAAGCAACCCAAGAATCCATTAATCGATGAGTGGTTGAAGAAGGTGTGGTATAATTATACATACAATGGAACACTACTCAGCCATAAAGAAGAATGAAATCTTCCCATTTGCAATGACATGGATGGAACTACAGAATGTAATGTTAAGTTAAATAAGTCAGTCAGAGAAAGACAAATACCATACGATTTCACTCATATGAGGAATTTAAGCAACAAGGTAAAATGGTGGGAGCCAGGGGCTGGGCAGAGGGGCAATGGGGAGAGTTAGTGTTTCATGGGAACAGAGGTTCAGTTTGAGATGATGAGAAAGTTCTGTAGATGGATAGGGGTGTTGGTTGTGCAATAGGGAGAAAGTCCTTAATGCCACATAACTGCATACATCAAGATGTTTAAAATAAAAAAATTTTTATATATATATCACCATGACAAAAAAAGCATGAAAAGAGATTGGCATACTCTAAAAGAATGTCAGTGCCATCCATAGCTTCATATGATGTAGAGAAAGGAATCCAAAGTACAAGGAAACAGGGGCATTGCAATGGGTTTATCTTGTGTCATTCAGTACCTCAACCTTAAAGGATACCCAAAATAGGGTTTAAGGGACATAAAATTAATAAGGTTATTGAGAAATAACCTAGTGAGGCTATAATGGCCTCCTTGACAAGTTCTAGAGAACTTCTCCCTTATAGGACAGTTACCATGGACATGTGCGAGTTGAAAAGGATTTGTTCTCAGATGTCTCAGTGGCTCAGTCAGTTAAGCATCTGCCTTTGGCTGAGGTCATGGTTCCAGGGTCCTGGGATCAAGTCCCGCATCAGGCTCTTTGCTCAGCAGGGAGCCTGTTTCTCCCTCTGCCTGCTACTCACCCTGCTTGTGCTCGCTCTCTCTCTCTGACAAATAAATACATAAAATCTCAAAAAAAAAAAAAAAAAAGAAAAGAAATGGATTTCTCCTGAGCTCAACCCATCCTGAACTGGCAGAGGCAATGTCAGCAGTCCAAAACCATCTGAGGTATGGTATTCATAGTTCATGTAAGAATTAACCATTCACATCTAAATTGGGTGAACCATAGGGATTTCTTGAAATGGCAAATTCCTCACGGTGTCTTCATGAAGCAAAAATGATGGGAAGCTCACTAAGGGCCCATCCAATCTGAACAACTAAAAAAATAAACCAATAACAACAGAAATTCTAATTCTCATGAAGAAAAGCTTGACCCGAGTCACCACGATGGGTCACAATCTCTACTTGACTGTCAAACCTAAAACAGTTCACTGACCCAGATTCTCAATTGATGGATCATGCATGAGTGAAGACTATAAAACAACAAAAAATGCATTACATTTTCCTCCAAACCCAACCCAAAGGCTCTGAGGTGATGGTGTTGGTCAGCTTATAATGGCCCATGAGGACTGTGGTCTGAACTAAAATTGGTTGCTTGAACCTGGGCAACATGAGAGTAATTATACTGTGGTAACTGACAAATGCAACAGGTAAGCTCTCTTCTTTATCCCATTTTTCTTACTTTCCTCCTTTCTTCTTGTTTTCCTTTCTTTTGTGTGTGTGTTTTCTTTTGAGAGAGAGATCCTTAATCATTTATCTGAATACTAGTGTTCGAGGGACCTGTAGACTTTTACACAGAAAACTGTGAACCAGGTAATAGGAAGTTACCATTATAGCTGACAAATCCAACTGGAGATTTCCGGGGTCAGGTCATGAGGAGACATTCGTCTTACTTTGTCTCACAAAGCACAGGTAAGGTCCATATGTTTATCCTTTTATTACGGCCTAATTTCTGGAATGCATCACTACAAAGAGTTAGCTGGCAATAGGCAGAAAGTCCATATTCCTTTGTGATCTGTAAAAGGACTATTATGGCAGGAGGTGCTGAGGGAAATTACTAGGCAGTGTTGCTGCCTACCTAAATACTAAAAGAAAAGTAATAATGCATCCCTGGAGTAAGCACTGAGAAGTACACCATTGGCCTGAAAAATCAGGAGTTGTAATTTCTATTACCTACACACTTAATTTATGGTTTGAACTGAGCAACTGAAAATTAGGTATTTCGTGGTGAATGTGGATTGTGTAAACTTCATTGCACAGCGTTCCGGGTGCCTCTGCCCTTGCAGATGTGCTCTCTTTCTGGGGGGGGATTGACAGGAACCCCTAGATACAGCCTCTGCTATGTTAAGTGACTTTTCTCCCAAAGCAGATCCTCTAATGGAAAACTGCTTTCACCTGAGGGAGGAAGCATTCCACATTTATTCCTCTGGCTCTTCTTATCTCATTGTAAGTACTCAATTATCTGTATTATTTATTTGCTGCTAAAAGTTCATGCAGAGGAATTTAATGAGCTATCAAATTTTTTTAAAGGAAAAGATCATAGAAGACACTCTTACCAATGAAGAACAAACCAAGGGTGCTGGAGGGGAGGTAGGTAGGGATGGGCTAGATGAGATATGGGCATTAAGGAGGGCACCTGTAGTGATGAGCAATGTGTATTGTACATAAGTGATGAATCACTAAATTCTACTTCTGAACCTATT